AGTCGAAACCGAAACTGAGTGGCCAACTAGTTCCCAGAGTGCATTGTGTGGTATTTCGCCGCAATGGAGCGCGTCGGTTTCGGAAAAAGTCCAATGCTTCGATGCAACTCGGAACGGAAGTAGTTCTAAGAAGTTTCTTAAAATGTAATGTTTTTTTTTGTTTTTTTTAATAGTTGTAAGTGAACGTGCGATGAGTCATTTTGCGGGCAGGGGTTCAGTTGAAAGTCCTATCAGTTCTCGTTTAGATGAAGCACAGCCTTTCCATACTCCGGCTAGAAGGGAAGTGGGATTGAGGTCACCGTTTACGGTTGAGGTGAAGACCAGCGTGGGTAGGATTGCATAGATAAAAAAGGTTGATCTTGTGACGTCGGTGGTCGGTGGTTAGGTTGTGGCAGGGATGGGCAAAATACATGCAAATATGTATCGAAATACAAATACAAAATACTTCGTCAAAAATGTATTTAATTACAAATCTAATTACATTTCCGAAAAAAGCATTTAAATACAAGATACAAATAGAACCAAATGTATTTGGTCTCCTCCAAATACTTTTCCAAATACATTCCTCCAAATTTGCGTCAGCGACTTCAGGGCACCTGCAACGGGTTTCTGAATATCTCACGTTAATTTTACATCGCACACTCGGGAGTTAGCGTTCATTTCAGTAGTTGCCTGACCGGCGGGTAGAGAGCGCTGGCGCAATCGCCGCCATTAGGTTGCTTCAATTTGGTCGGTTTCGGTTTCAACCTGCACGCGATTGTGATGCTGTTTCATGTCACTTTCGATTAATTTTGCGATATGAATTTCTTTCTAGTAGCACACAGCGAATGAAACAATAGTATTGAGCCATTTGGCAAACCACGAAGTGGTTTCGAGCCTAAATTGCGATCTTTTTTTACGAACACTATACTTTGTTTCATACTTAGCGTGCAACGCTGTCAAAGCTACTGCCGCGAGTGCGTGGCTTCATCAATGGTGTTGTTTGCGCGAGAACGCTTGCAAAGGATCAACGGGATGAAGCCCCATGCTCGCGCCAGTAGCTTTGACAGCGTTGTACACTAAGTATGAAACAGAGTATATATGCGTCTGATTCCGTCCATCGTTAACTTCGGCCAGGTTCGGCGGTGAAACAACTGCGCTGATGCACAGGAAGGAGCACCATTGTCCACATCCGTACCCGCGGACACTAATTTTAAGAAAAGAAAAAGAGCAGGACAAGCTCCGCCTGCAGCGTGCGCTCGTTGCCTGCCGCCGTGCTTTGGCTGTGCGTGCACCGAGCGGTGCGGAAGGTAGATAGCTCGCGCTCAAGTCAGATATTGAACTGATCATCTTATATTGCAACAGACTATATTGCATGAGTGCTTAGTGAAAAAGCTGGTCGACAACATGATTAACAATCTGCTGAATCACCAAGAACAGATGAACTGCCAAGTTTACTGTTCGATGTTTTGTTTCCGTACACCAGCCTTTTCTAACTTCGAGACTCGAAACGTCTTTTATGATGACTAGAAAAGTTTCATATAATCACGTAGACAATATAAAAAAAGTGATATTGTCTCGGCCTGTTTTATTTGAAGAAATTAAGCGCTCGAGACATATATGATAGACCAGCCTAGGCTGACTGGAAAATTTCTTCAGCTAAAGTACTCATTTACAGCATTTCAAAATATTGGCCCTATGAAATAAACTTTTTGTTATATGGACATTTGCTTACGACGTTCTCAAGGTATGAGAATCGTAAGATAAGTGAATGCCAGACTTTAAATAATGTCTGATATTCATCTTCCGTAAAATTTGCCGAATAAAATTGAAGAGCGCAAAAGAAATGATCTCCGATAAGCTTGGCTCAAGTCGAATGCCAGGCGCCATTCAATGGACCTGTGTAGAAAGCTGTTCACTGACTTGAAGCGATGCGCTTTGCACATTTTGACGTCGCCAGCTACTGAAAGTAAATCCCTATTCGCCGTCGACAACCGGCTGCACTCGGGTGATTTTCACGCAGAACGATTTTTTTCGGCGTTGCACTTTGTGAATCATAGGCACTATCAAGCTGTCTGTGACAGTTTCTTACGCGGGAAGTTCAAATATTTGTGTTGAAATAAATTAACTGAAACTGGCATGGTTATATTAAAAAGATGACTCAAGCAACTGAAAGACTATGAACATGGGACCAATCACGATATACAAATCCGTGGAATTCCTAAATAAACCGATAAAGCGAATGCTTATATCACACATGCGATTAAGAACAAAAAACAAATATAGGTGTAATATTGCGAACAAACAAGTTGCCTAATGTTAAGGTGGCATTATTTCTAGCATAAAAAATAATTCAAACTAAATGTTTGTTCCCGCGCCTTCTCCACTAGTTCCCTGGAGTAATCAAAAGAAACTGTTTTCGATCTGTTGTAACTACAAAACACCATGTTTTTAGGAAAAACATGTGGCTAATTACGCTGAGTGTTTTTATTTCCTTCCTTGACACCACTGCGCACTCATATATATATAAGAACATTGGGTTTCCTATTGCAAATGTTCCGCCCTTATTAGTAACCAAACCTCAGTTTTCATAAGTTATTGGTATTTGAACCCTCGAGGCTCTCTTCAAGTCATATATGTATTCAATGTGCGCAAGTGCTAACGCCGATTCATGTTCCTATAAAACCTTTTTCACACGTATCCCGTACGCCGGCGGTAAAAAATATTCAAAACGTGTTACAAAATCAACTACAGAAGTTGCGCGCATAATGATGTAATGCAACTGCATGGTAAGTATAAGCATCGGAATACACTTTACAGAGTAAGGCAACTTGCAAGAGACGCGGTGAAACGCGACGAAAAACACGAATTCAATTAACGCATCCGCCAAGGCGCGGACGGGAGAGCAGAGCAACAAGTTGAAGCAACCTAATGGCGGCCGCATCACGTGATTCCAAGATGGCAGCGCCCATGCGGCGGAGGGTGAAAAGGTCTATTGGCGGCGAGATGTTTTGGTGGCGCCCTCCTATGGTTACCTTTCGTGACGTCATTACCTAGTGAACAACAACTTCGATGGCGTTTGTAATTAGTACGGTGGAAGCTTGAAATCATTGCGCTCTGAAACCAACGCTGCCAACACCGTCAAAATTGAAGTTCTTACATCACTCTTATTTCCGTCAATGGAAAATCCTTTGCTGACGTCATAGTCAGCATTCGGCCAATCGTGGAAGGCCAATCACAGCGACGCTTTCGATCGCTCACGTCGCCAATAGTCGGTTACAAGTCAAGAAGGTAGGAGAAGCTCCTCCCAGAAGCGTCATGCGCTTGTTTCAAATCTCTCCGCACCCGAAAGAAGAGTTCACTGGAAACGCTCCTTGTTCCGCTCCAATGGATTCCAACTTGTCTCCGATCCCCTTTTTAAGAAAAATAAGAAAAAGAATACCTCTGTATTCATCGGAGGGGGAACCGAGCCCCTGACAGCAGCCTTTGTATCTATTGGAGGGGGAAGCTAATCCCGGAAAGTCGTATTTGTTTTCATCGGAGGGGGAAAACTCTAATCACCCTCTCGTGGTATCCACAATGCTAAGTCAAAGTCTAAACATAAAGTAAATATGTACAAAAGGCAAGACCCTCCTCGCGCGTCGGTCGCAACGTCACGGAAACAAAGGGACGCTATTAGATGCGCAGATGGCGGAGGGATATATGAGTCCCTTTGAGGGGCATTTGCCGCTACCTTCTTAACCTGTAACCGACTATAGTAACATAATAGAAATATAATCACAAAAAAATGTAATCAGCTTGGACGTAACAGGTGAAAAAAGTACAGAACTGCAAGCAGCTTTTTTTTTTTTTTTTTTTTTGCCGATTACAAATTTTGGTATAGAGTCAGACCAACAAAGAACCGAGACGACCAAGACGCGCAGCACTAGCTAGAGAATTTTTTTTTTTTGTTGTTGCAACTCACACCAGTTACGAAACTCTGGACGACCCGTGCATTTAGAATGTTCCAGGCAAAAAAATAGATGGAAATCAGGCTGGAAAGCATCACAAGTTGTCACAGGCACTTATTTATCGAGTCTGCCTGTGAACGTCGATTTCTTCACTATTCTTGCCCTGGACTAGCACCGTAATCACAAAGTCTTTAAACGCTTGTGCTTGATTAAGATTTGGTGCAGAACATGGTTTTCTTCCTGCTCTGGACAGTGACAATAAATTTGAGGGATGTATTTTCGCCCACAAAATTGTATTTAATTACAATTGTATTTGAAATACCCACATTTTAGTATTTAAATACACACGTGAAATACATTACCCAATTTGTAATTAAATACAAATACAAAATACACAAAGTATTTGAAATACGTATTTCAAATACTTGTATTTGAAATACTGCCCATCCCTGGGTTGTGGATATATATATAAGGCATTGAGTAAATAAACGCAGTAGCTGAGTTTGAGGTATTCTTCTCCCCTGTCTTTCTTCTTCGACCAAGTTTCTCTGCTTTTACCACAGTCTCGGGTTTTCTACATCATGATCAATATTCACCAGCTCGCCTGCGCCCTCACTGTTTTTTTTTGTTTTTTGTTTCAAAAACAAATAGTTGGCAAACCTCAATGCATCTAGCACTGATGTCTACCCACTATCCTACCAATCAAAGCCAATCGGAGCTCGGCGTCGTTCTGGCGTCGCCGCAACTCCTGCGCAAGTTGCAGACGACTGCTCTCCGCATTGTTTCGCCTGCGTGACTGAGGAATGTTCCAATCTACCTACTACGTAGGAATTATTCGTGATATTTGCTCTCATAATCAAGCGCAGGGAGAAACTCGCCTTTTCCCATAGAAATGTATTACCGGAAGTCGATTGCCGACTGAACACTGCAAACCGTGCAACGAGGTAGAGCCAGTAGAGCTGATGGAGGGCTGGCGGCTGGCCCTGGGTGGCTCTAGGGATTTGTTTCGAAACTCAGTTGGTAACACTGGCTCTCGCGAAGTCGCGAGTGCTGCGGGGCGCACGCGAGATATCCAACGGCTCCGGTCGTTTGTGAACATGGCGGATGCAGCGCCGAGTCGGCATGAAAAAAGTTTGGGTCTTCTTACGACAAAATTTGTCACGTTGTTACAGGAAGCACCAGATGGAGTTTTAGACTTGAAAATTGTAAGTGACTGTCATGAAATCTTCCTTTGCGTATTTCTGTTACTGCGAGAGCGGTCTTGCAAGCGCTGTGTCTGCCTGCATCGCAGCTTTTCCTACTTTTGAGCTATTCACGGTTGAAGTTATCTAGGTAGTTGCTGCTTCTTATATGCAGACGCTACTTTATTGCCAATTTTTAATTTAATGTCTTTGATTCAGCTGCTTTGTAAATCAATGGCACCTGCCTGTTAGCATGTATGTATCTATCCAACTAGAGCTTTTGTCTTTTCAAATCGTGGCCCAGGAACACCGGGTGCATAAAAAAAATCAGTCAACTGGATTTGGAAGGTGTCCCCACATTGGAAGCCAGGCATTTTTCGGCATCTAGGTCGTGCGTGTTATTTTGTTCTACGCTCGCGTCTGCACGGCCAAAAAGTGCTGCGATGCAAACTTCTTTTTTTTTTTTTTTTTATCCTAATTTCTGCATATGCTTTTTTTGTGTTCAAATCATAGTCTGAAATAACCACTAATCGTTAAAAACAAAATGCAATCAATATACACGCGAGTGGGTTTTAGCACGGTAATGCTAGACAAAAACAACAACGTAGTGATATGTATATAAATAAATAAATATTGTTAAACGCTGTGCTGAGTTTATAACCAGAAAGAAGTGCAGATAATACTGTTTGTGGATTATTATTTTTATTTTGTTTAGTTTGGAATGGGAGCTTGTCACTTGATCTGTTGTCATCCCATATTACATACAAACAGTCATATCCTGTTTGCATAACACAGCCTTCAAGCTTCAGTAACCTTCATACTGAATTCGTTTATCGGTTCCATTTGCGACTGAAAAACTTTAAAACTTGGTAATTTAACATGAATAAACCTAATGGTTTATCTGCTATTTACCTACATTGTTTACCTCTATTATTAATAGATGCTTATGCCCCAAACCACTGTCTTGTTTATTTAATTAATATACCCTCAAGGTAGTACATACTTTTATTGTTTCTCTGACACCATAGAACTTGTTAATTAAGAGATGTACAGGGGAGACTGCGCAGGGACAGAGATAGCTCCCTGTTAGATGTACAGGTTGTCTGGCATTTGTATTTTTTACGAGAAGGGAACAGCCGTGGCCCCATTTCAGCTTTGGCATCAGTAAACAGGTTCCTGGTGGACCCCCTGTCACATCTAATAATACCCCCATGTTGTACAAGTTTATGGCCTCTAACCAATCACAAGGTGGGCCCTGCAGCAAGGTAGGGCAGAGATACTCAAAAAGTATTTGGGAATACAAGTACCGAGATATACGAATTTGAAGGCTAAAATGCAGTTACTGCTATACTTTTGTCTTTTATGTGACGGAATGTCCCCGAGATACTTCTGCGAAAATGGAATACATATACAGATTTATACTGAAATACAGTTTCTTTCCAAGCGGTAGAAGGTGCGGAGGGTGACGTTTGTGGCAAATACAAAGGGTAGTGCTTGTGTTCCTCTTTCTTTCAGTTTATGCCTCGCCCTCTGCATTGAACTCCTCATCTATGCACAGCCATCACCCTCAATGCCGATAAAAAAAACACCAGATTTTTTAACAATATTTTGTGAATGCCGATTAGCCGGTAGATCAGCGCTTTATTGCGATGGGAAACAGCAAGTCAGCGAGGCCAGCCGTGGGCCTTCCGCCACACGCGCATAGTCTCGCTTACCTGCTCTTTCACGGTGCGATAAGGCACTGGTCAACCGGCCGGTCGACATTCGCACAATATTGTTAAAAAATCTGGCGGCTGTACTGCAAGCCGCGGTGACTGCTTGACGTGCTTGACAAAAGGCGTCTGCCAGAAATGAACCGCGTTTTGCCTCATGTGCCATATAGAACTTAGTTATTTTCAGTCAGGTATTTGTGCTTGTAAGAAGTCTCTTCTCACACAATGTTATGATTGAGCGGGGTTTTTCTTTACGATGGTTAAACCTGGGATTGAGGGCATGTCTCAAGCTGGTTGTCTTCCGAGTCACTCAGTGGTTGGGATTGAACAGCAGAGCTGAACCTGTCTGCACTAAGGCATCCTAGTCTGCACTAGAACAAGCGAAGCATGTGCAGTCACTTTAGTGTGCGCGGAACCTACAGGAAACGAGAGACCGCTAGTGCCCAATATCGTATACAACTTTTTTTTAACCACCTTTTTTTTCTCAATATTGATTGCTTTTTTTTTTCTCAATATATCAGGCAATTGACCTAGAGCTCTCCTGCAGAGGAAGTTACACAGCAAGTTCATATTAAATATTCTGGGACCTCTCACACTGAACGCGATTTTCGTTTTATCGTAGCAGCATGGCAGCTAGTTTTCACAACAAATGTAATGAGATAGCTAAACCTGGCAGAGTATAGCAATACAATCGATACATTGTAAATGTATTTCACTACTGAGATGCACATGCATATTTTCAAATGTATCTCGCTATAGCAATGTGGATACTCAAATACTGTCTCGATACTGCTCAGCCCTGCCCTGCAGGCTGATAAAGCTGTATGTTGAAAAGATAGTAGCATTGATAACAGCTGCGAATTCTATGTACCAGTCCTAAACTAGCAATTGAACACTGTAGACCAATGCTTATGTGCCATTTATTGTGAGTATCTAATTGATTTAGATGACTTCATTTCAGTGAGTAGACTTCAATAACTATTATTTTGCAGGCAGCAGACCTGTTGGCTGTGCGGCAGAAACGAAGAATATACGACATCACCAATGTCCTTGAGGGAATTGGCCTCATTGAAAAGAAATCGAAGAACAGCATCCAGTGGAAGTATGTTATTTTGCCTTCACTTGTATGAATATTCTTATCGCTCATTACTTGACATGTTTGCTGCAAACTCTATTAGTTGTAATTTAGTGCTCTGAAATAGTCTGTGGTACTGTTAAGTTACTCTTTTCTGAGGAATTTGTAGAGCACCAATCCTTTCTTCATCCGGATTCATTTTGTGGGACTGTCGTGGTACAAAATTACCACAGTGATAAAACAGCAAAGATCTGCTACTGAAAGTGTATCTGAGGTGCTTATTGCTAAACACATGCAGATTTTTGTGCCTTGGTGTCAAAACATGGCAAACATACTGTAGGCCAAGTCAGATGATCTTTCCATGTCAGACGCCATTGTAACAAGATAGGTAACACCACAGTTCTTTTAAGTCTCTAAACTGGCACTTTGTTGATATACGACCTAATGGATTTTTTCTGCAGTATATGTTGGGGGTTATTGACTTCATCCAGTAGACCTTAAGAAAACCCATGTACTTTTCAAACACAAAACTTCTTGGGCAGTTTTAAGGTTTATTGGCAGCACAGTTTGTTGACACCTTTGGCCTGAAAGTACATTCAGGGCCAACCCTGTCAAGAAAGTGTCTTTCATAGATGATATCATGAGGCACCAATCTATTCCACATGGTTGTGCTCAATGCTAAATTTCCTCTCAAGTGTTGCAAAGACATTGCAGCTTGTGTGCAAAGTTTTCTCAGCATTTCACCATGTTACAATTTCTCAGTAGCATCAGTGGGGCTTGCATCATTGGGGTTATCACTTGTGAAGGCTGCAGCTATATGTGCACTGCACTTGTATCACTTTGAAACTCAATAGCCTTTTCATTTGGTTTGTGCATCAAAAGATCCCAAGGCGGTTGAAATTACTCCTCAATCCTTTGGCTGGGGCATGCCAGATCTGCTGTTAATTTGGTATCCAAAACTCTCAAATTTGACTTCATCTGGTTTGTGGGAAATCTCTTACAACCTGTGAACCTGCTTTATCTCAAGTGCTGCGTGGCTTTATGGAAGCCACGAGAAAAACTGGGAACGAGCCCATTTTGTATACATTTCCAGAGGACAAGCAAATCCCCAGTGGGCATAAAAAAGATGCTTGGGGCACACAGTGGCCAGTCCTAGAAAGGAGAATTTCTCCTATCCAACTGCTGCTATTTTGCTCTCGCACCTGTACCTTTGACAGCGCTGCCCACAACGTGGCTCCGCACCCGAGTCGATTAGTCATCTTGCATCGAGAGTACCTCTGATAGAGTCCTCTTGCAGCATGAGTGTATGCTTTCGTGCCCAGAAACATTGAAGGACTGTGGTACAGTGATGTCTCGTTATGGACGCCTCCGTTCCCCCCAAAAATCGTCCATAATGTGAGTTGTCCATATTAACGAGACAAAAATGAATGAATTTTCCCCGCTTGTCCCTGAATGGTGTCCATATAGCGGGGTATTCATATTAACGGAGTCCATATTCACGAGACATGACTTTAATGCATTCTTTTTGAGGGTTGGTCAAGACCAGAAAAGAGTAACTTTGTTTCATTACTTTACTGGCACAACATGCACGTGTCTCTCGATTATGTAGGCTACTTAACTCTGTACATGCTACTTGGATTTCGTGGAGCACCAGAAAGGTCAACGAAGGTAAAGAAGGAATTTGCCGTCCGAGCTTGACACTGAGGCGTTTATTTTGCCTCTGCGGCTCGCAGGGGAGCCGGGCCAGGCTGCAACACCCGGGAACTGAGCGACCGGCTCTCGGCGCTCCAGAAGGAGCTGGAGGAACTGGAGGCGGCGGAGCAAAAGCTTGACGAGCACCGCGCCTGGGCTCAGCAGAGCCTGCTGAACATCACGGAGGATGCGGCCAATGTGGCCCAGGCCTACCTGCCCATCAAGGCCCTGCATGCCTGCTTCGAAGGCACTGCCTCGACGCTGCTGAGCCTCCGAGGACCCCCGGGCACCTCCATTCGGGTGCCTGACCTGCGCCAGGTACTGTCGCGGCGACGTGCGCTTGCTGCTATGCGGTCGGTCCTTCAATCGGGGTTGGGATTGACGGGTAAAATGACGCTAAAAGTTGTACGAGTTGCCGAGGAGGCAAATAGAGCTAGTTGGGTGGTTTGTACAAGCAAATAATGTAATTTCAGGCATAGAGTGAGCAACATGCATTCTGAAAGTATGGGACTGGCTACAAATAGTAAACAAAAAGATTTACAGAAGTGTTCATTTAAAGGGTAACTCCACTTTTTTTTATATATTCAGAAAACAATACAGTTCTCTTGCGATGTAGTTCCACCTGAAAATTTGTGAAACTTACCTACAAAGTTTGAGATGCGTAAAGTCGCCAAAATCTGCTAATTCTAGCAGGAGGCGCGCGGCATAGTCGGTAGTGCCGTGTTGGCACAGCCAACGTTGCACTAAGCCAGAAGCATTGCAATTTCTTTTTTTTTTTTTAATACTTTTTTAGGGAAGGTTTACAAGTGGCTCTAGCAATGTGCTCGTTGGTGTCTACAGGATTTACGTAACATGCATGCTCTAGTACGTGTTAGTATATGTCCGTGCACTGCACGCTTCATCACTTTGTTGTGAACAAAATATTGAGCCCTCTCCATTCCATTAATGTTTTGTTGACACCCCAAGTGCTCAGGCCCTATCTCCGATGCCTAGCTGCGATGAGTGGCAAGAAGCTTTCAAAGTTGTGTCCCTAGCTGCTCTGACAATCAGTTTTGCAGCCCAGGAGTTGCATTTCACGGGTCCCCTCTCAATAGAGCATGTTAGAAACTCTGAATGGATACAGTGCGCCAATAGGGATTCAGGAAGTCTTTTTCACCAAAAATGATTGTACAGCGCCCAGCATGTCGTATGATGTGCCTGGCGTTTTGTTACGTGTGTGTGTGCCAATTCATGCTCCATTTTCACATCTATACCCCTTCGTGGAAACGACAGGCCTGAGGATGTAGCTTGATCGCCCAATCAAATGGGAGCATTTTTTAACTTCATGGTATACACCAACTCAACTCTGTTACACCACCAAAACCTGCCTTCTCGTTAAAACGTCCCGACATGCTGTACCAAAAGAGCTGAGAAGGGTGTGAAGATAAGTTTTCGTGTGTTTTCTGCCTGCTCAGTTCGTCCGAGAATGTGCATAGGTGCCGTGAAAAAAGAAAACCATACACTGATGGACCAGGTTTGCTTCTGCGGGAAGCACTTTGTGTTGAATTCATAAATACTTGTGGTCGTCAGATTTCTTTGTTTTGTTCTAACATGAACGCAGGCTAATAGTCAAGTTGTCTGGACCGCGGACCACATTCGTGCGTCTTTGCATTCAAGCGGTCGTCTGATCGTTCAAACTGTCTGCTCTTTCAAACTCACCTGCTTGTTCAAACTGTCGTCTGCTCGTTCAAACTGTCGGCTCTTTCAAACTCATCTGCTTGTTCAAACTGTTGTCTGCTCGTTGAAACGACGGTGGCCCGTAGACCAAACATTGACCCGGTAATTGCGATAAGAAGTGCGGGCCTCGGAAGTCTTGAGTTTGAAGGTTGTTCTGGTTAAGTAGGCTCAGTGTAAAAGTAGGTACAAAGAGACCATCACAGACTTGTTACATCTAATTCACTTAGTTTGATTCTGCTTGCGATTTTAAGTATTGTTGTCGAGCTACCTTCCATGCCTTTGCAGCACAAGCGATGGCACGACTAAAAATGGCGAAGAAAATCTCGTCGTGTGAATCGGGCTGTAGCAACCATTCTGCGGCATTCCCGCGGATTGAAGGGGTACACGTCACATTATTTATGCGAAGCTCGCGGTGTTACGAGCATTGTTAATTTTGCTAGGGTCACTAAAATAGTAAGACATTGCTAGGAAGACATAGTATCGACTATTCCAATGCGAAAAAGGGCACGGGGTCATACACCGACGCCAACAACATCATATTCCAATGGTTCGTTGATGCGGGACAGTGTGCTTTTGGCCCACACCCCATGTAACATGCGCAGCACCGGTGGCGGGCCGCGAGGGGCATTCCGGTTTGTTTGTAAACATGAGTTGGTGTATAGACAATTTACAGCAACTTTACATGGGTGCCTCCATCAAATTGATTGTATATACTGCCAGTTGCAAGGCGAAATTCAGTGCAGAGTTTCATCCATGTACATGAATTGTAAAATAAATTATGGTCGTTTTTATCAGGAGCGCACCGACTTTGTTTAGGAAAATTATCGTTAGGAAACAAACATAGTTTTCCTAAAGTGAAATTTATGCCAAAAAAATTGGACATTTACAGTTTTCTTTAACGCCGAATTAGAGTGCAGCTCTTGAGGAGGAAAGGAGGTATGCCCCTCCTCCTCATCCGTACCCTCTCCTCCTCCCGTGCTCCTCCCCTCGTCCTCTGCTCCTCCTCCCCTCCTTTCCTCCTCTCGTTCCTCTCTTGAGGTATTTCGATTTTGTGATATACCGTGCTAAACAATCTGAGAAAGATATATATATATATATATATATACAGGGTGTTTTTTTTTTTTTTATTCTTGCAGATTTATTTTAAGAAAAGCCATGAAAGCTACACTTATGTGGTTTGTGCGAGTGAGTTATATGCCCAGGGGGACATTATGTGGGTGGCTGATATTTGCGATAAGTCATTTAATTAATTAAAATTCCCTAATTAACTTTTAATTGGTGAAAATAGACATATGGTTCCAATTAGAAACTTGCTGAGCATCGTTCAAAACCCCTAAATCAGTTTTTTTCAGAAAGACTTTCAGTGCGTGAGAAGCGTAGTAGTGCACTAAAGTTACCACTCGTGGAGCAGGTACAAGGCTAGCGGTTTCGGTAAGGCGCCCGCGCAATGTTTCGTCTCTTATTCCCCAGCCTTGTACCTGCTCCGCGAGTGGTAACTTCAGCACGCTACTGCGCTTCTCACGTGCTCAAAGTCTTTCTAAAAATTACTGGTCTAGGGGCTTTGGACAATGCTCAGCAAGTTTCTAATTGGAACCATATGTCTATTTTCACTAATTAAAAAGTTAATTAGTGAATTTTAATTAATTAGCCCACTTATCGCAAAGATGAGCCACCCACATAATGTCCCCTGGGCGTATAACTCACTCGCACAAACCGCATAAGTGTAGCTTTCACGGCTTTTTTTTTAAACAAATCTGTAAGAATAAAAAAAATGCCCGGTATATATATTCGGGTATTCTCGCTCACTGCTTGTCCGGAGAGAGGAAATGTAGTTCTCACATCTGGACGCTCCACTCTAAGTTCTGCCGGTGCCAGGAAACAGGACAGCAGGATCACGGCAGGAGATTGAGACAGCGTTAGAGTCAACACTTTCACGAGGAACGTGATACTCTCGATATCATCCTACTTGCTGTCGGCTCTGTCGAAGAAAGACAGCATTAGTCTTGAGCGTGTTACCCTAAGATGGCACAGCACAACAGCGAGTGCACGTCTTTCGGGGCCAACGGTATGTTTTCCTGCATGACTGGCATGAAGTTCTTGTTTGTCTTGCACAAAGTATTGGGTGAGTGCCGCAGGCGAGAGATACAGAGCTACCACAAGCAAGCCGTCGTTGACCTTGGCAGCACACAATTTACCAACTTCATTTGACGTGCCACAGAGATTGATGGATACAGCACAGACCTGTACCCATGTAGATGGCTACTTGGAATGAATACACCACGTTTTCACACATGCCTCTCTGTGATTTATGAATAGTGATATCACTTGCCTGCACAACGGGTAGCTGGGATCTCCCCTCCTCCTTTTCTCCTCCTCCCTCCTCTCCTCCTCCTCCCCTCATCCTCCTCTTCCCTACTTTCTCTTAACTTTCCCAAGTCCTAACTTCCTTCGTCAGTTTTCATCACCCATAAAACCCTCCTCTCTCCTCCTCCCGTCCTCCTCCTCCTTCGTCCCATGATGCAGCGTGCGGGTCACGAGTGAGACCGGTGCGTTGCATCATGGGACGTTTCCCGTTATGCAATGCGCGGGGGCCCTCGTGACGTCACGTGTGACGTCATTATGGGAAACGTCCCATGATGCAACACGTGGGTCATGAGTGAGACCCGTGCATTTCATTTTGGGACGTTTTTCATAATGCACCGCGTGGTTACGCCGACGGCGATGCCGCTCAAACTGGAAGCGTGCACCAGAGAGCTGCGCTCTAAAAGGTGTGAAATAAAGACCCCCCCCCCCCCCCCCCCCCCCCCCCCCCCTCTCCTGAAAATTCAGACGCTCCCCATAATTTTAATTCCTGGGGAAACCCCAGGCACAGGTAATGGTCGCAGTGACGCAATGCACAGGAAAAAAAAAAGTATGATGGGAGCTTTTAAGAGAGAAATAAAAAAATGGTTGGAGGCTGTTTGGCTCATGTTCAGGTTTCTTGATGTATTGTTGCAAATAAGGAGTTTTCTATATCTAAATAAATCACTCTGCTTCTGCCCCGACAAGCTGTCTGACAGGGTTACTTTTAGAATAAAAAGTCCTTAATTAAACTGACATTCTACATGATGTTGGTGAATGTAAATATGGCATTTTTCAAAATCAACTTTTTTTTTCAAATTTTTTTTTTTCTGGGTAGTGTCCCCCTTTAATAAAGTGGGATTAACTTTTGGTGCAATGTTGGCACGAAATCCTCACATTTCGATAATATGTAGCAGAGTAAGCAAGTTGGTAGAAATGGCGCTACAATCACATCACTGATCCGTAGGAATCGTATGAGAGTGAGTGGTTAAGTGTTAGTGCTAAGGGCAGACAAGCAGTGTGTTACATGCTGCGACATTGTTTACGAAATGCGATCTTCAGTTTACCGCATTGCTCGCACGGCTTACACTAACGAGAACACTATGTCTGCGTTTGAATAAACGCATGGACCTCCTAAACTTGCATGGCATTTTTTGTGCAAACAATTTCTTGCGCTCGTAAAAACAAGTGAACCGACGACGTCCAGCTTGAAGTGTGTAAATTATGCATGCCTTGCTTGATGACATTGCTACTTTGATGGTTGTAGTAGTGCATTGCAACACGTGATCAACCTGCACCATGGCTACTAATGGGCACTTTTTAGCATAGTGTAGCTGCAGGCTACAGTACGGTAAGGCATTGCGACCAGAAGTTTGCTCTGCAACTTTGAAGCGCGATTTTTTAGCGTGTGCCAGGAGCTTTGTCATAACCACTGTAGCCTGCGGTAACACCATGCAAGAACTGCATAATAACGTCATCGGCGTGTTCGGGGGTTTTCTTTTTTTTTGCTCTGACAAAAGAAATATAGTAAAATATGCAGTATACTACACCTGTGTACCGTGTTATTTGCATCGTCGAGACCCACCTCGCCAAAGCTGCACATTCTAAGCACACCTCATGATTAGCATACAGACGCACTTAAAATGCTACGAGCATTTCTTTATTTGCCTTTTTAAATAACTGAAAGCCGGTACAATATTTTGTCTTTTGGGAGTGCTCGAAGATTATCTGTCACGTTGCTTGTCACGGCCTTTCGGCGCATAAAAAATATGAACCCATTCCCGATGCCCATTGCTCGGTACACTGTTTGGCGAGTGGTTCTTTCCTACTTTTTGGTAAGAATAAATTCTTTTGTAGATCTTATGCGAGAGCTCTGCACTACTAGCGGGAGGATTTGCCATCATGTTGAGCACTGATTGTGCTGGCAGCCGCTGGACCCGAAATCCGCAGTGTATGTTTTACATACTCAGGGTAATGTGTTTATTAAAACCATAACAGAACGGCGCAGCGTGATGCACGCTGCGTCGTAGGTTGAGAGAGTCTGCTGAGGCCCCCGGTAACAGCAGTCTCCGTGAACAAAACTTGATCTGTGCGAGCGGGCCTCGGTCGGCGGTTGGACTTTGCACCAGAGTTCTTATACGCACAGTCTCGGTATATAGCTGAGCACGCCGCCAGATACTAGCAATATATATCAGTTTCTCCCTTCTGGGTTAAAACTCAAGACATAGTCTTGCAAATGTGCTGGTTGCTTGATCCTGCGGCCGAATCTATTCCTTGAATCGGAGGTTGTTGGACCGTCCGCGGTGTTGTTGTTCATGGTGATCTCTTCTCCATGTGGTTCCGGTTGTCCCAAAGCTGCGGGTTCGTTGGCGGTCTCGGCGTTTGGGTAGCTCATGAAGGGAGATATTTTCTCTTCCATGTCCGGAGCTCCTCTGTTTTCTTGTCGACAACGAATATGGTCCACGTGTCGACGCTGAAGTCTTCCATCATCCAACCTTGTCTGGAATGATTGAATTCCCATCGGCTTCATGATTACCGCTGGCAGCCAGGTCGGACTTCCGCTGAAATTCCTCACGTAGACTGGTTGTCCGATAGAATAATCTGCCGTTACTCCACCGCTGGGAGCCTCTCGGTCTTCGTTCATAGACCCTAACTTCATGAGATCGAGGGGTGTGGCTATTCGTCAACCGAACATTACTTCGGCGGGTGTTTTTCCCGTGGAACATGAGACCGTCGTGGCTATCGGAACAAGAACCTGGCGATTCTGCACTGAATTGTTCCCTCCGTAAGCTTCAAGAGGGCTTTCTTCGTTTCGCCCACCATCCGTTCTGCTTGCCTGTTAGTTGCCGGATGGTACGGTGCACTAGTGTGGTGCTTGATGCCGTTTTTTTGTCAAAAACTCGTTCATTTCGCTTGATACGAGATTCGGCGCATTGTCAGAGAAAAGTATTCTCGGTACGCCAAAAGTTGCAATAACAGAGCGTAGACCGCCAATGACGTGTGTGGACGTCGTGGCATGCATCGGCTTCACTTCCAACCACTTGGAGTACGCGTCGACGATGATCAAATATGATACCCCATTGATTAGTCCTGCGAAATCGATGTGGATTGTTTCCCAAAGTCGGGTGGCAGGTGACCAGTCAGGTGTTGGTGCTGCTGTTTTTGCCCGATGATGTTGCTGGCAGGTCTCGCACACAGCTGCAGTGTCCTTAATGTCGGCATTTAGCCTTGGCCACCAAAAAAGACTTCGGGCAGTGCTTTTCATCGCCACAATGCCTGGATGATTTGTGTGCAGCATCTTCAGGGCTTGCTCGCGCGCTGCTTGTGGTATGACACATGCTCCCCAAGTTATGCATTTTGTGTTGCCAATTCAAGTTCCCGACGCTTGTACGGTGTGAACTCGTCTCCTGTCCACTTGGAGGTTGTGCCATCTTGCAGTCCCTTGTACACTTGCGACAACACCGGGTCATCTCGAGTGAGACTTGCTATCTGCTGAGCAGTGAGGGGTGGACTCTCCATGGCTTCCAGCAAGAGTACATCACCTGGTGGCGCCGGTTCGTCCTTGTGTCTGACAGAGGTAGCCGGCTGAGCGCGTCTGCGTTCTGGTGATTACTCGACCTCCGAAGGCTTCTTGGGCGCTAGCAGGGCTCGTACAATGTCATAAGTTGATTCAACGCAGGACGTCAGAAGGACGGCTCGCTTCTTTGCGGAGCTTGTGATGTTTTTAGCCTCGAAGTAGAATTCGAGGCGTTCCAACCACAAACTCCAGTTTCCACCGGGGAAAAAACTCCGGAATCTGTCCGTGATGAGCGTAGTCGTCCATCCTTCGAGAAACTTCCTCGTCGCCAGTTTCACATACTCAGGTTAATGCATTTATTAAAACCATAACAGAACGGTGCAGCGCGATGCACGCTGCGTCGTAGGTTGAGAGAGTCTGCTGAGGCCCCCAGAAACAATCGTCTCCGTAAATGAAACTTGAACCGTCCGAGCGGGCCACGGTCGGCGGTTGGACTTCGCCACAGAGTTCTTATACGCATAGTCGTGGTATATAGCTGAGCGCGCCGCCAAATAGTAGCATTATATATCAGTATGCAATTTACAAAAAGTTCCTATTGAAATGAGATGTCCCGGTCCCCTTGTGCAATGCCATTGTGAAGCGGACCGCAACAGTTATATTTTAACGCACTCACTTCCGTGAAAACCGCACGATGCACGAACACGCCGAACAGAACGAGAGGACCAAGGCCAACAGTCCCTGCCACCGTCTCCGCTGTCGTCCCCGCCCCTCTGGTTCTTAGTTCGTCTGCAAGAGGGCGAGCAGCAGTCTGGAGTTGCAAATAGGAGGGATTCGTGGACTGTCGTAAACGTGGATAGTCGTTTGCAACAAGACACTATAAAAACATGATCACAAGAACAGCAAATGCAATGTAATGTTGACCGCTTTACACTTTCGTTTCATCAAAAATAGCGGCATACTTCTTTGTACTCGTCGCAACATATTTACGTGCGGTTTTCCAGACTTTAGCTTTTACTGATGCTCACAAAACATGCTTTTTTTTTTACCTTTGCACCGCACATCATTTGTTATTAGCTCTGATGAGAGGAGTTTTCTACGCTAACCTCGGTCTCTACATTGCAAATTCAGAAATTCCTGGAAACTCTGAATGGTGAGCCGGATTGCGACTTGGCTACTACCGTAAAGGTTTCTGTCTCTCCCGTTGTATCGTCTATTTTTCTCTATGTATATGTACCTTGTGAATGTCACATAATTATTGTAGATCTGTATTTTGTTCTCATTGCTTTTTTGTTCCTTTTTTTTTAAGGATGTGGAGAAATGCTTTTGGCTCCTTGCCAAGTCTGACCAGGGACCAGTTGATGTCCTCCTCATGGATAAACGATTAGAGTGCGATTCCCCTGTCGTGAGCAAGGTAGGTGGAGGTTGCATCGATGTGTTGAACGAAAACATGGGATACGAGGGTATTCTGACAAGATTCCCGTGTAAGGACCACGGTACCCGCGGTACTGAAAGCGCGTGATATGTGATGTCTTTGGTCCTGGTCTTGCTACTAGTCGGAGCCGCTAAAAGCATCTTTTTAGTCAAAATGCAAAATATAAGTGGCGCAGGGGTGAAACGGCTGCGCCATTTTGCGCCAGACGCATTTATCTGCGCCATCCTTCGCCATATTGCGGAAACTGCGCCACAGCCAATACCTCGCGCCATTATGCACCAAATCGCAAAACGTGCGCCAAAAATTTTTTATATTGTCTTGGTTTCGGTTTCTATCGACTGGATTGGCAACAATGAGCTTTTTTCAGCTTGGTTGGCCTCGGTTGGCCTTGCAATACTTTCTTTTGTTTATTTTCCTTGTGTATCCTAAGTCAGAAGCTCGTGAAAAAACTCGCGGGTCGGATTCTGAGTGCTACACCACATACAACTTGATAGTTATTCTTGAAGACTTAACGCTTCAACCATAAGCGATTAAGCAAGTCGGCCGAGGTGAGGTCGAGTCGTTCAGCGTCAGATTACCTGAGGCTCTGCGGCCTGGGATCTGGACGTCAGCCAGTTGAAAACAAATAAGCAAAATATTCCTTTTAGTACTTCATCATTATAAGTTGGATCCGCATTCCTGCAAGATAAATCGTGATTTCACAGAACTGAAACGCGGTCTGATCCGAAACCTTGCCGGCCAGCAGCTCTCACGCGAGCGGTAGATCTGCTCGGCGTACTTTAACCTTGCTCCTGCTTATCGCTTAGTACGATAACTCCGTTAATCGTGGTCTGCTGCTTCGATATTGAATTGCACAATAGGATAAATTCGAAATTTTTTGCCCTGTTCCTCAGCACAACTGCACGTCCGTTGCTTACGCACATCGCGTGGTTCACACATATAATTACTATGTCGAGTATGTGTGGGTTGTGCGATAAGCAGTGCTGTTTTGCATTTTGAGCATCTGAAAGCAACTCAGAAAATATCAAGGACACTATCTTCAGAAACATGGTACTTGCTTTTTGGTTCTCATTAAGGCTCACAAAGTTTCAAGTTTTCGCATCTGTCACACTGTTATCCCATCTACCTATAGCCGGTAACAGGTCAAGAACGAAGTGGAAGCTTTTCCCACCTCTTTCCACTTTAATAGAGCGAACGCTGGAGAGGAGGCGACCTCCTCTCCACCATTCGCTCCGTTGAGTCTAAGACACAAGCTGAAGTGCAATGAAAACTGATCTGAGCTGCTCCCAACCTGCTCCAAAACAGTGTTTCAGCTGCTCCCGTGGCTGCTCCCAAGTAGATTTCATGAGATCCACCCCTGGTGGCGCCAACCGTTTCAATTATCTATAAATGTAGTTTTTGTTCAGTATTTTAGATCAGAAAAGGAACAAATGCAGTTTATAAAGTACGGAAACAAGAAATGACCCGTGGACATATCTGCCACCAAGCGGCAGAAAAGGTGGCGCATACTAGAAAGGAGTAGTGGAATCAGGCGCTGACACGGAAAGGTCCCGGATATACGCGGCAGCGCTGCGGTCGTAGGGACTGGGGGATCCTAGCGGCTCCGAGCGTTCCGAAAGCCTTCGGCGAGCAGTTTTCTCTGGCGGTTTGGCCGTTTCGCGGTATGGCAGTGCGAAGTGGCTCCCATTCTGAACTGATCTTTACCCCGTGTTTGCTGTCGTTTATGGCCAATGAAGTGTCATGCCGAATTAGTGTTTAATCGCGCAGCAAATGCAATGAGAGCCGCTCTGGCTGCCCGCTGCATACAGCCTATCCAGAACATGCTTTAGTGGCGCCCTCTAGCGCCGTCTACACGGAGTGCGGCAGCCCATGAGCGCTCGCTAAGCTCGCTACCCCTCATCTAGTTCATGGCCTCTCAGACAACCAAGGACGTCATGAAGGAGGTTATTTTTTGCTTGTTTTTGTAATTTTAATTTGCCTATACTAACTGTTAGAATAAATTGAAATTCGAGGAAAGAAAAGTTTTATTAAATTACTTAGTTTAGTGCGCTCAGGTTCGGTGCAAATTAAAAATTAGTAAAAAAAGTAATTTCAGGGCCCCTTTAAGCTGCATATCGCTTCGCGCAAACGCCAAGACTATGGCTAACACGCAAATAATTTTTTTAATCTTTTCTTTTAATGCTTTGGTTTAAATACGGGGAGTGCCGGCCCTTACTCGTGTGGCCCACACATGCAATTAGACAGTAGTATCGCGGTGTGTTGTTTGCTGTTGCCGAGCTTGGGGCCAACACCTCTTGCACAGTTCCAGCCCGTCGAAGGACAGGAGACGTCGGGCGACGTGTGCAAGGCCAGCAAGCTGGTGGTTGTGGCTCCGGCTGCCGAGCGGGGCGACAGTCAAGAGGCTGAGGCCAAGGAAGCAACTGCGGCCAAGGATGCAACTGCAACCAAGGATGCAACTGCGGCCAAGGATGCAACTGCGGCCAAGGATGCAACTGCGGCCAAGGATGCAACTGCGGCCAAGGAAGCGACTGTGGCCAAAGAAGTGATTGCGGAAGTGACCACCACGAAGGAGCAGCCTCTGACAGAGCTCCAGGAGGCGGAAGAGCCCCTGCCCAAGGTGCCCTTGACACGACGGAAGTCCAGGCAGCAACAGGTTCCCCTCAAGCGCAAGCAGAATGGCAGGATGCCCTCCAATGTATGTGCCTTCCATTCTTTCACACTTTCAGTGTAGACTTTTGTAAACATGCTTTCGTTAGATGCCCATTTGCACATTTACAGATTTTCCATTTTGCAGTCAAGGCTCTGTTTAAGGGGAATCTGAGAAGCTTTTGATAAAAATGAGTGAATGGTGAATTCTGGCAGTCATTTAACCTAAAACTATCGCCAAATGCAAAAAAAAAAAAAAAGAAAAGATTGGAGAGAATGCAATTAGTAGCATGCCTCTGGCTGGTCGAGAAAGGGTCCCGTGATTCTCGGTTGCTTTGCAGCTTGTGAGAGTATTCAGGTAAAAGACTTCTAGCTTCTGTAATTCAGGTTCGGCTTCCAATGCTGCGAGTGGAGCTCAAAAGATCCTGGAGTGACACGTGTCCGGAGGGCCTTCGATGGGACAATGTACCTATGTGTTCAGGCCCTTGTTAAAGCTGGAAAAGGGCTTCTTTGGTGGCACAGGGAGTCGCACGGAGCAATTTCCTCAAAAGGATAGTGGCATGGCATGTCGGGCTCCGTCCGTGCTGGAAGCATCCCCCCCACCCCCGCTATTTAGGAGACACATATACTTTCGTAGAAAAGCCATACATGTTTGGCAGCGAGAGTAGAGAAGCACTCAAGTACTGAAGTCCTGGTGGTGATTGTGATACCATTCTGCTGCATTTCATGGGTTTACCACCAGTTATCATACCCTTCCAGCTTTAGAGGAGGCATGATTGGGCATCCAGTAGCTCTCAATTTTTTGTTGAATTAGCAAAAGCTTCCTCAACCCCTACAATCGGATGCTTGTCTCGAGATTTTTAGACTGCATTGGACATCCACCGTGTGTTATTGTCTAATTGTATTTTTATGATACAAAGAATAATTCCATTACAGGCTAGATTATTCCAAAGCTGGCCGGTTTCATTTGAAATCGGAACACGCGTGTCGGGGTGGGTATTTTGATTTGTCTAAAAGATATATATATATATATATATTATAGCCCCATTTTTGCAATGAACAAAAACCTGTTTTTAAATTTTTGTAGAAAAGTTGTTTTTCCCCACAAATATTTTGAAGTGAAGCAACGTGAAATGCTACATTTAGGCTGCTTGATTTTGGTAACCAGTTCTGTCGTTTGTTATAAATGGGTAAAGATGAAAACACTCGCATTAATTTTTTTTGCAGGTGGCCTTTTTTTTTTTTTTAAACTAAACTGCTTTGGTTGTATTTGTTTAGTCTTGACTTTTATATAGGTGTGAGTGAAGTAGAACTGAATTAGCAGGAGCAATGGATTAATTGTTCACATGCCAATTTTTGTTATGAAGTTCTACATACATATAAAATGTATTTGACGTTCATAATCAAGTGACAAGTGCTTTGTTTTTTTATCTGAATTATAAATTGCAGTTTTATTACAACCTCTAGAGTAGTGGTTCTGAGATGGGGGTCTGCGAAGCCCTACCTCATCAGTCAACCCCAGCAATAAAAGTTGTCTTTTATCCGATTGAGAAAAAGCGTTGCAATTTTCGGATGAGTTTTCTTGTGTATATGTCAACGAGAGAAGTCTAGCTCACACCACTCCTTAGTAATATCCACTTATTAAATCATTATCATAATTAGCCTATACCTTTCACTTCCCCTCACCATGAACGGGGTCCTCCATCATCTCCGCCAATCAACAAGGGGTCCGCGAATCATCAATGGTTGAGAACCTCTGCTCTAGAGCTTGAAGGAAACATGAATTTAGGTGCTCAAAATTTTTCTATTCTAACATTATTTCAATGGGATTCAGTACATAAATACTACAATTCACTGCAGTTTCTGTTGTCCTTCATAAGTCATCTTGTTACCGTGTCTGGTACTTCTCCACACAAATGAACAGCTGATTCTGTGTTTGAGGGAATCGCTCCTGCTGTGCTGTCGATGCTAACAAAGGGTTGCACATAACACAAGTTAGAGAGCAAAATAGACATTGTCTTTTACTTGGACTGGCCAACACATGAAGCTTAACATAATATCTGCACTTATCCTTGAAAAGTTTTTTGCTTGTACAAGTTGACTTTTGGCTGCTCCAAAATTAACTTGGCTGCTCCAAGAGCTGCTTCACAATGACCAAGACCAATCACGTCACTGCAGTATGCCATTAGGGCACACTAGGTGAAGTTTTAATTTGTTTCAAGCACAGCAGTAACCAAACATGAGCCCCCTGAAAAGCCAGATGTATTTGGGAACAATTTGTCTGCATTCCTATTGCATGTAAAATCCTCAATTTGTAAAAGCAACTTGACTTTTCTCTCGATCTGAATGAAATGAATGGTCTTCTGTACAGGGAGAGGTGAAGAAAGTTAAGGAGGCTGTTGTCGAGGCCCCCGTGACACGGATGACGACGCGCAATTCGCCCCGGAAGAACCTGCAAGGCTCCCCGGGACTGTTGACGCGGAGCCAGAAGGCAGCCGCCAAGTTCACCGATGTGCCCGACCGCACACTCCTCTCTCCAAGTGAGAAACACTCCCTCACTCTTATTGCTTGTCTTTTCACTGTCCTTGTTTTGCGGGGAAAGTGTTAATGTTAGTGGCCTCCGGTGTTCATTACGTCGGTTGATGGTGCGAGGCAGGTTGTGCTTGGTTTCGTTTGTCCTTAAAGGCTGATCTACAAAATCATTTTCCGCACGGGCTGTAACTACTGTAGATGGGCCATGATGGCCCTCCATCGGGATATCTTTGCCAGCAGAGAAAAATTGGTATTGTCGAAGACTGTGTTCAGCCTGGAAAACCTCAGAAGAGTTAGGGAAATTTCTGAGTAAATGTTGCTCTATTGCTTGCTTTTATGTACTCTTGTTCCAAAGACAACTTTTGCTGTATTGGTAGATCATTCAATAAAAAGTAGATAATCGTACAGGTACCAGTGGAAGTTCCAAGCACGAATATTGTTGTTACTTTGAGCTCACTGGAGGTAAGTCTACAATGGCCCACCGTCATTGTCATTACTTGGGAGCATTAGTTAATTTTTTGCATTCTGGTCACAATACCCAGTTATTATCATGGGTGCCATATTGTGTGTATTGGGTTACTAGGAGTATTGCTTTGTGATATTGGGAAGTTGTGAACTGTCTTTATTTGGCCAACTGCAGCTTGCATTTTGCTTGCTTCGATTTGGATTTTTCATTTTCTGAGACAACTGATTTTACAGCTGTGTTTTGTGAGACTAAAGATTAGTTTATTAACCTATGGCTTCTCAGAGGTCATTTACATTTACTTTTGACTATCATTTTTCCATCATTCTAGGAACTTTTCAGATGTCACTTCCAGGGAAAACTGCCCCACAAGTTGGCAAAATTGACCTTGCTATAACCTATAGTTTATTTTACAAATGTATATAGTTGAATATTTCTATTTGTTTACCATGTTGTTATTGGGCATCATTATTGGGATGCAAAAACAATCTATTAGAGCTCCCTATTGATTTTTTTAAATTTATTATATTAGTTTAGTAACATTTTAGTGAATAGCCAGGGAAAGCCTGGAGGGCTCGAGGGAATTGAGAGATGTAATTATGGTATACACCTGTTTCACATTGTGGTGTTCGAACCAGGTGGTGGTTGCGTACTCTTTGTAGCTTTCACTGCTTAGTTTGGGATCTGAAATTACATGGAGTGGGAAATGTGGCCTTTGGAGCTGCTCAGAAAGGTTTTTCTTCCAGTTTCAGGAAATTTTGGGCCCTCTCCTCCGTCTTCTAACAAGCCAGACTCTCAGAAAGACCTTTCATCAGAAGAGCTGTTTGATATGAGTGGTATGGAATGGAATATTTCAATCTTTCTGATATTTTCTTACAAACAAAAAGAAGGGTTTTTGCAAACAGTTTTGCTATATGTGAATGTTATGTGGGCCGGGGGCCCAAAAATGAAACTCAGTGCAACCAACCAAGTAACAAGACTGCCAGCACATCCACTTTGACAAATGTGCAAATAGCTTTTGTCTGAGCATGTGTAATTGCACATTGTAGGTCCACATTCATACCCCATCTTTGTTTTCAACTGAATGCAGATGTGAGGGTTGCGAGTATTTTAGCTACTAACCCTTTGATCGTCAGATTATTTTCCCGGAAGACGTCCCCCCGGCGGTCGGATTTTGTCTTCAAAGGAATCACAGTATTAGGAAAGGGCCAGTGCAGAGGTTTTTTTCTTAGTTGCCTGGCAGGAACATTTACAGTGTTCACAAGCCGTTCAGGTTTAGAACCATCAAATGGAAATATTGAAGGTGAGAAGCTGTCACCTTTCTTCCATTCGGTTTCATTTTAGCACGTCTGCTTCTGCGACATTCTGGCTGTTTCAGATTCTGAACCGGAGTTACTTTGCAGAGCTTCTTCATCGGATGGTAGACTCATCATCTGAATTAAATTTTGAGAAACATTAAAATGCCTGATTTGGAAGAGCCGGTGCTCTAATTGCCACTACTGTCAGAGCAGTCGACATGCAAATTGAATCAAACGTCTGGCGCGTATCACGTGTCTAATTTCACAACTATAAATACCGTATTTACTCGAGTAATAGCCGCAGTGTTTATGAAGAAAACCCGAGGGTTTGCTTTTCCACGGAGCACGCGGATCGCGAATCACCGCAATCGACAGCATAATTCCAGCTGTTTACAGGACAGAGATAACGTCTTTGCGCGAAGATACCATCTGTGAAGATTGCATTTGTATGGAGAATCGTGTTCTCGATCTAGTTATTCGCTATGTTATTTATGCACAACGCAATGATTGGCTGTATATGTGCTTTGCGGAAAAGTAGACTCGAGGACCTTGTTCATAAATAGTGCGGCTATTACTCGAGTAAATACAGTAGCTCCAGCAAAGCAGAAACTCCCCGAGAATATGTTTATAGTTCGCCAAAGACGTAACAAATGGTACACTTACCACAGCATGCACAATTTTCCTTTTAGGCAGGCACTTTCAAATGCGTAATCGCCGCTGTACATATACGGCAACGACCAACCCTCAAATAATAATCTTTTTTACAGCGTAGCTGTTAAGGGCTAGGTTCCCCAGGACCGTGTCAGTGTATGTCGACACAAACCTACCTGGACTGCTACCACCATCTATAAGCGATAGCAGCAAGCACACAACCAGTATGGTTTCCGCCATCGCTTGTAGATGGCGGCTACCTTTCCAGCTATAATAGATGAATGGATACTTGGGCGTGTTGGTGGGAGTTCATCGTAGGAAACAGCGCGAAAAACAGACTAAGACGAAGAAGAAGCACGCAGTGTATCGAGTACAGCTCCGCTGGTCTTCCTTCTTCACAAGAGTAGAAAGGCTGAACGTATTTATTATTTTTTTTTTTTTTAATTGCCGACTTTTTGTATTTACGAAAGCCTCAGAGTCCTAGGTTTGCACCCTTGTGTTTAATGCAAGCTTCAATTTTTTTTTTTTTTTTACAGACATGACATTGGAAGGTTCGGAAGAATTTCTCGAAAACAGTAAGTTTTTGTTTAACATATTCACATCTTTCAAATAATATATCTAAATTTAGTTATAGTAACAAAGGCTGGTCTGGACATTTGCTTCGGTTGCATTCACAGCATCCAAAGTAACAGCATTGACAAGATCACCGAAACAACTTAGAGTTCCTGTATAGGCTCCCTACGGGAGCCAGAGTTGCGCATTTGTTTTCCCCGCGCCGCCACGCCGCTATTCGCCGAGATCCATCACGTGAGGAGCAAAGCATCCGTTGGCGTGCAAGAAAGCCACCTTTACGGTCGCTCCGCCGACGTTTCTCTTGCCCCGGCGTATGTTTCCCTGCTTTCCGCCTCCTTTTCCTCCTCTCCTGTTTTCCATGCGCGGCGGCGCGCGCGGCGCCGCTATTCGCCAAATTTAGTCACGTGAGGAGCAAAGCATCCATCTCGCGCGGGAAAGCCGGCTTTACGGCCACGCGCCGAGGCTGAATGCGCAACTCTGCTACCGTAGGTAGCATATACAGGAACTCTAAAACAACTGTGCTTCGTGTGCCCCCTGGTGACCAGCTGGTGAATTTGGCGGGTCGGTCGCAGTTAAACGAGGCAGCTCGTGATTGCTTCTTGCAGCTAGTGCCCTTTGGATTGGTTGCCTCGTAAACATCACACGGTACCCACAGTTAACCTGGTGGTTCTCTCATGACTGTCCCTTTAGTCACAGTGAATGCCAGTCTATGAACCTGGTGTGTCCCTTATACCAGAGTCTTAAACTCGTTCGAGTGTGGGGGCCAGATAGCCCACCCTCAAAGCGTCGAAGGCTAGTGTAGGGTCCTTGGCAAACATGACATATATTGAGACCAAAAAAAAAAACGAAAAAGGGCGATGGCGTTTTACGTTGCAAAGCAGCCAACTCTTTCAGTGACACCCAGAGATTTCCTAAAGAAGGGTTCTCATGCTGCTTGCTTTTTGTAAAATAGCCATTTTGCCAGTGCCGTCTTGAGCTTTGATTCATTCATGCAACTACTTCGGGTTTGTACCTAGTGTGATTAAAATATAAAATAACATCATCGAGCGGACACGCTTAAATTTTGCGATACTCGGGAAGTATCGGAGTTTAATCTCTCTTGAAAGAAATTCTTTTCCTAGGGTAGTGTTGGCTTTCCTGACGATTTTTTATAGCAAAATTACAAGAAAATACTAGTTTCACCGGTATGTAAGACAGTATGTAACAAGCCTTGATCTGAAAGAAAACAGATTAGTGCCAAACATGTTCGTTATGAGAGCAGAGCTACGTTTCCAGTGGAAATGAATGGACGACAAGAGGTCATTATGGTTGGTGCATGCAGCGCTTGAGGCATAGGAGCGGGAGCTTTCGGCTACGGGATAATTGTGGGCCGCATCTCAGAGAGTCGTGGGCTGCGTGTTTGACATCCCTGCCGTAAACAGTAGTCCCTCATTATAACCAAGTCAACGGGACGGCAAAAAAAAATTCTGTATAAGCGGTAGTTGAATTTAAAATGATTGGGCCAAAAAAAGGGCGACGGCAGCCATGAAAGTGGACATGAACCATAGGCGTAGACTTCGGGGGGGCATTGGGGCTCGTGCCCCCCTCGTGAGATCTGGGGGAGCAGAGCCCCCCCCCCCCCCCCGGGGCCCAGGCCATGATCCTTACCGAGACGCTGTTTACATGCCATGTAACGAGCTTCCATAGTAGTGGCATGTAAACAAAATAATGCCCACATTGCCTTTATTCATAAAATACATGGGAAATGGAATCCCAGCGTGCTTGCGTTAGCTTCAATCTCCAGTTCTGGCGAAAAGGTAACGCACAGCCCCCCCCCCCCCCCCCCCCCCCCGGGAAAATGGAAAGTCTGTGCCGCTGACAGGAACACTATAAAACACTCAAAGCATATATTTAACCGTACAAACCTTGGTAGTGAACAACTTGTGGCACCTTTACGGAAGAGTGAAAAACCAAAATAACTAAGTGGAGTTTGCCAATCATTTTTTCCGGGCATCAGTCCCGGAAAACAGGGACTAGGGTACTTAATTATGTTTTTGTATCTATTGAGATACCTTGCTGAAAGTTGGCATGCATATGTATCATTGGATGGTGATTTCAAATCTGCAGTTGAATTTCAGATATCTCTTTTAGAACAAAAGATATGGCAAAATATAAAATTCCAATAAGGTAATTTCTTACAGCTCGTTATGGTAATTTCACATAAAAAAAATTTATATTTTAACAATATGTAACAATATGCAGTGATTTCCAAGGGTTCACCATATATCCTAAAGCTAATTGAATGTTTACAAAGCCATTTTGTCTACCAGAAATAAATCATGGAATTTCAAAGCAAAAACTTGTCACTGAATAATCTATGTTTCAGCTAATTACTTTTTATCTATTGATTCTAGACGAAAAAGAAAAGCTTTGGATACACCTCAGTTGTTACTGAAAACAATGATACCAAGCTGAAATCCGCCCATGCAAACATTATGAAAACTTCCTTAAGGCAATGGCTCTGGACAAAAAAGACAAAGCTGAGACAATCGTACTTGAAGTTTCTCCGATGTTGGCACTTTTATATATCAAGTCTAGAGAAAAAAGAAAAGCTTTAGGGTGCAGTTCAGTTGTTGCTGAAAACAACAGCACCGAGTTTATTGTGATCGGCTTATGGAAACAATCAAAACCTCCGTAAAAAAATGGCGTCTGACAAAAAAAAAAACATGGAACCACGAAATTACTTTAGTAGTCTCCGATGTGCGCACACGGTCATAGCAGTCCTGGGTCCTGGCAGGCTAGTGTCTCTTGGCCATCCTCTTCTTGACCTTTTCACTCTCAGAGTGAGCCTTGTTGGCCTTGCGAAGCCTCCGCCTGTCCTTCTCAAGACTCCTGCTAATCGGGCAGCCACCTGTGCTGTAGTCAAGCTGTGCTGCTACAGCCTTGTTCCTCTTTGACATTCCCTGGTAGAAGCGTGACACGGCTTCAGCGACAGCCCTTTCCACTGACAGCAGAGAGTCATGTGTGTTCTTAGAGTTCTGGCCCCAGATCATAGAGTGTAGGCATTCTGCGTCATGCCATCACTGCAGCACTTCAGGAGTGCCCGGTTGCCCAGCCTCTCAAAGACTGGCTCCAGTGCAGTGCGAATGAAGCCTGGCAGTGGGTTCTTGTGTGGTGGTGGCTCCTCGTGGTTGGCCAGTGCCCGATTGTAGGAGCACCAGAAACTGTCCTCCTCGGGACAGTGGCTGTGGTCCGGGGCTTCATCTGTCGAGGTCATGTGCAACAAAGTTGCTTGCACTGCCTTTTCCATCCCTGGCACATCATGCTTGTGGCTTCTCAAGGCGTACCCATAGTAGTTTGTTATTTTTTTTATGTTGTCCTGGGTCAGCTTTCCCTTTTCTCCGAGCGACTCTCCCTGTGCCTTCTTCTTCTCCACCAGGGTACGAAGAGCTGCTCCCATCCGCTTGTGTACGTGGTTCAGGCAGTTTTTTTTTTCTCAATGTCGAGGTATCCATAGACGCTGTCTTGTGTCAGGGCATGGAAGGTGCGGCTGTCACCATCGGAAAGGATGGGGGTGTAGTGCAGTCCATTCTTCGCCAGGGACCGCCTAAACAGAATGAAAGCTGCCTCGGCTTCCATTCGTTCTGCGTTGCAGTCAATGTTCTTCATACACTTGTGGTTGATCGCCCAGTCCCCATTGCTGTCATCGTCTGGGTCAGGTGCACCCTGGCAGCCACGGCAGTACCTTGAGGGGACAACGTGGTCCAGCACCAGGCCAGTGTAAAGCTCGAGGATGTACCCCACTGCGATGTTGGAGTTGTATCCGCGTGTCTTCCATGTTCCGTCAAAAATTAAATCCACGTTTCCAGGAAGATTGAGGAAGCTCTCGTAGACGTCCCTCACCACCTCAACACTCGCTGCTTCTGTGGCTGTTGCTGCTGCCTGGCAAGCCTGCACCATGGTGTCCATGTGTCCCCTGAACGCCTTATGATGAAGCCCTCGGTGGGAGAGGTTCAAGGTTGCACAGAAGTCTGCAAGCGCAGTCGCCCCCTTTCCTATGCTCTGTATTCCCCTCATCGCCCTCAAGTTGATCTCGAAGGGCGTAATCTTGGCTTCCCCGGCCACTCGTGGAGAAGAAAATAGACTAGGCGAAATCGCAGCTCGAACACGTGAAGACCAACTTCACTGCCAGGCCGTACTGCCTCTCTTCGCACTTCAAAAGTCCTACGGTAGCCATTCCGCACTTGCCGCATGCCGTGGACGCAAAGAGTTCTTGTAGCACTTTCATGTCCACGATGACGCACTCCGTGCCGCGGTCGGTGTCGTCGCTCTCCATGCAGACGTCGAGGAGCTCAAACTTCCGTGAAGTCGCCGACTGAACTGCCAACGAAGCCTTTCTGTCGTCCGCACGTTGTTTTCGCTCCACGCACTCCTCCTCCGTGTAGAACACAGTGTCGATTCGATCTCGTTGCAGCTCTGGGAATCGTGCGCTGACTCGGCAAGAGTGCGCGCACCAGAAAATCTGACATGCGCGAAGCAGTTGGCGATCTTTGATCTTCGAATCACAGGCGCACCTTTCTCTTGCATGAGAAACTCTTCTCGAACCTGCCCAGTAAGTCTTGCTTGTTCTGCAAGAAGGTCGACGGTGTCGAGCAGTCGATGCCGGAATGTCGAATGCCTTGGAGATTTTGGACTTGGGCCGGCTGCTTTTTTCAACCACACAGATCAAAGCGACTTTCGGTGTACGTCGCAGACTTGCACAGGTATGCGTGCCAAGGGGCTCTTGAAGGGATGACCTCCTCCGGGCTCCTTCGCTTCCTTGACCCAATTGCGACGGGAGTTGGGCTGCGGGCACCTTGCGTAGCGTCGGAATGTAGACGCGCTGCTTCCTGACTGCATCGGCGCATCAGCGTCGGAAACTTTTTTTTTTTTTTTTTGCGGTTTTTCGTTTGCTTTGGTGAAGGAGAAGGAGGGAACTGGCTGCATCGGCCGTCGATACGCTTAGAATAATCCGGATAAAGCAAGTTTGTTGCGACGAGGGACTACTGTATGCCACTAATGGACTGAAATTTGTTGAAACCTCGCCTTTAATTGCATTTAAGAATTGTGAACTTTGGACATTATAAACTGAGACTGAGGGGGAAAAACAGACCTGTGTCCCCCTTTTTTTTTGTCAGTTTAAGGTTTTAATATGTCAATTTCTAACCAGCTTGCCCACCTAATTACACTTTCTTATAAGTGTTAGCTGTGACAAAGTTTTACCTTGCAAACTTCATCGTGAGCGGTGGCAAGCTTTGGCCGAGCTTCACCTCTTGTTCCTTGAAGACCCATTCGTTTGCTCAGGCAGGCTGTACTGTATTTAGAACAAAGTCAGACTCCTCACAGTTCTTTATAAAATGTTTTTATTGTATAGCGAAGCTGTTGGTCAATTGAGAAATGACACCACTTTATTTGTTTCTCTAGTGTCTCCACCGTCTGCCTTCCTCTGCTTGAGCCCACCACTCAGCGAGCGAGACTACTACTTCAACCTCGATGACTCGGAGGGAATTTGTGACCTCTATGACATGCTTCCTGTATGACAGCTCAATTTCTCATTCATCTCACTTTGTGCTGACTGTCTAAGTGGAATGTTTGTTTGGCTGCGGGGTTGGCAACACCCTTGCTTTCTTGGGCGTGTGTTGCATAGCGTGTCTGCACATTTTCGCGCTTGTCATTTTTTGTTGTGGAAGTGTGGAGGTTACCGGAAGGACATTTTTACATGTGCAAAGATTAATACGGGGGGATTCAACATATTTTTAGGCATTGTGATTACTCGAGGATAATTTATTCTTGTCTGCTTTTTTTTTTTTTTTCTCTCTCTTTTTCTTTGGGAAAAGTTTTTGGCGGATGGGCTTTTAAGTTGGATTTGGAAATGAGTTGTTTTGTCTGAGGAGGCTATAGAAAGAAATGCTGGGGTGGAGACAACACTGTTCAAGTCAAACCGGCTTGCCTGTAGCAAGATGGCGGCATGCCAGACAAATGAATGGGACTTGCTGCCATCTTGGTGTCTGCCGTTCACAAGGCACGGTAGACACTGGTTTGCGCAGTAGGCAAGGCAGGTTGCCTGGTTCACAAGGATATCTGAATAGACGTAACGGCATGCAACACGAATACGACAAGCATGGTTCACTCCTGCATTACATACAGATGAACAAAGTGCCAGTCAGGCTTCACTCCCTCTAATTGGTAGGTACAGGTGGCCTCCACTGCAGCAACTCTTTACATAACTCCCTTGGTTTTGTCTATTTTGCTTTTGCTACTGCTCACCACCACTGCAACCTATGGGCATTTTGGTTTATTTAGGAAATTGGTTTAGTTATTGGCATAGTAACATTTGACTCCTGTGTGCACGAGTGAGGTGAATTAGTTACGGTAGTAATCGCTGAAAATGAAAAGCAGCATTTTGTGAAAGGTCTACTCCGGCCAAAACTCAGTATTTTGTGCTTGCCTTAAAAACTACAGTAGTGGTTTACGGACAGCGCAATTAAATATTTTAGGAAATTTTGCCTGGATATAGGAACTAAGCCGTGCTAGTCGCATCTCAAAATGAGCATCTGAAGACATTCTCCATGAGTGCTGTGTGACATTGGGAAGATGCTACAAGCCTTTCGTCATGCTCTTCCTCATCTGTGTACCTGCTATGTTCTCTTTTTTGCTAATGATGGAGAGGACAAATTGCGATAAATGTGAATATGTTCGTTTCTGGTTAGTGGTGAAACTAAAATTGTATTAGCATGATTCCCAGCTTCTAGGGCTGATTTGGTAATTAAACATTTGGCATTTTGGTTTCCAATATTGGTGATGTAAAAGCTGAAATTACTTGGACTTCCTTAGCATAACAAAGCCAAAGATTTGCTTCCAAAGGGACTTCTTTTGTTGATTGGTTACATGCTACATTTGGTTTCTTTTTTTCTTTTGTTTTATTGCATTGTCTTTTTTATGAGAAATCCTGTGGCTTATGATGATCCTTCAGGGAGGCATTTTGAACTTGGAAGGATGCTTTGACTTGATGCTTGCCTAAATGGACCACGAAATGGAAGCTAGAGATAGCGAATCGGACAATCCGTCACTATGTCGTATGATTATGTCAATGGCCCGCTGTATGGAGGTGTCTTTGATGTGTCAAGTGGCACACATGGCTTTCACCTCTAGCCAGCCTGACTAGACATTAACTGCTGCTAAGAGATAACCCTACTTTTCTCGGTTTTGCTGATACGGTAAGGCTTTGTCAATTGCAGTGGACATGTGCATACCTGCCAACTCTCCCGAATTGTCCGGGAGCCTCCCGAATTTTGATCACATCTCTCGATTGTACGTACGCGACCTCAAATCTCCAGAAAAATAGCCGCCATAGTTTTTTTTTGTTTTTTTTTTCAATTACTTTTTTTGTTATAATTATTACGCGTGTGTCGGTGCGAGTTATTCGAGAATAGGTTCAGGTTACTCTGGCGGGTTACCGCTTGACAACTCAGAGCAGTAGCGTAGAGCACGGCCGTTCTGGACTCGGTGCGTGCGCGCCTCTAGCCCGGCCGTGGTACGAGGAGGTGTCAACGCAGTTCCCTGGGCGGCGGGTCCGATTATTTTTATTACAGTTTTTCTCCACTTCGATTTGTCACTTTTTGCTGCAGGCAACCGCTGCACTGGCAGCACTAGGCTTTCTCCACCCTCTTCCGGGAGCTTTGTGTTCTTTCTGTCGAGTTTGGTGCATGGCTTAGCCATGGCGTTGAGCAAAGAGCATAAAAAATATCTGCAAGTATTCTTGAAACATCAAAGTTTGGGGGTGCATTTTGGCATCACGCAAAGGGGAGCATTATGCCTTCTGCACTGTGTGCAATTGTGATATTAGCATCTCACACGGCCGGAGAACCGACGTCGCTACGCATGTTGCATCGAAGAAGCCCGCCAGCAACGTTCAGTGCAAAGAGAAGCAACATCGTCTCCAACAATTTTTCGGTAGAGAAGGCAGCGACGTCATACATGCGGAATGCCTGTTCACAGATTTCTTGCTGGAGCACAACATCCCGCTGAGTGCCTCTGAGCACGTTGGACCTTTGCTGCACAAAATGTTTCCGATGTCGGACGTTGCGAAGTGCTACGCATGTTCTGCTACTTTTTCTCTCCCTCAGCCCCCCCCCCCCCCCCCCCCCCCACCGGTCAGATCTCCCTAACGCCATCCTGGCGAGCCTGGCAGGTATGCATGTGTTTATCTGGCTCCATCCATTGCGAAAAAACTGTGCACTGTAAATACAAATTTAGTGTTTTTCTTGTTTTTTCTTTTTTCAAAAATGTTTACATGTAAGCAAGATCTAATACATTTGCCATGCTTTTTAAGTGTGTGTCCTGAGCATGAGGTAGCCAAAGTTACAAAACCATTTCATGGTCCTTTTAAGCTCCTCACAGAGCTTGTACATCAGGATGTGTAAAGAAAGTTCTGTAACTCTCAGCTCTTCTAAATCAGCCAGAAGTTTCAGCTTTGAAATAATCAATGTAAGTATTGTATATGTTTTTTTTGATAAATTAGATTAAGAGGTGCTGATTGCACATTCATAACAAAGAAACTGTTCCCATGATGTATCTTATTCATGTTTGTAAAGGGTATGATTTGTGCTCTTGTGCTGTGTATTGTTCTTGTTTATTTTGGCAGCTCTTGAATCTGCTTATGCATGACTATTTTAAGGGGACACATTTCAATAAGCTTCCATCCCACAGTCTCATTTTGTGTATATAGTTGCTGTGCGTCACATCATTTTCACAAGAGAACTGCTGTAGAATTTTACTAAAGGGTATGTATGTATATATATATATATTATACAGGGTGTTTATTTTCAGGCTTTATAAATTTGTTTTAAAAAGTAAAATAAACGGGGAGGACGCTATTTTAAAAAAAAAATTCTGCAAAAAAAAGTTGATTTTGAAAAATGCCATATTTACATCCATCAACATCTAGAGAACATTCCCATGAAGTTTCATTAGTTTACATTGCATAGTTCATTTTTTATAACTTGTTTTCGGTCCACTGATGCTAAAGAAAAGGTAGAGGCTGAAGCACTTTGAATGCATTTTTCAACGTTCCACTTTTTGGCATATATTTCACTTTAGGAAAACTGTCGTTTTCCTATTACACATTAGAGAATCGTTATTAGGTGGTTTTCTGGGTAGATTAGTTATTACAATTATCATAGAATTTTGTGACGAGCATGCCTGGCTGGTTAGTTTTTCTACTCTAACATTCTTTTATGCTAAAAAAAAGTACATTTGTAAAAAAGCACAGACAAAAAAAAACATTTTTAATCTTGTGTAGATTTACTTATAAAAAACAATGCAATATATAGCAAAATAACTATCTGGGTATGTGCTATGGGTATTCCTATTACTATATTACACATAAAAATCACAATTTTTTAATTTTATTTTAAAACTAGTTTTCCTAAGCAAACACTCTGACTTCCATATTGTAACATTCATAACAAGTTTCAGTATTGACATAGGACAATGAAATTTCGCAGAGATGGTCTTGCCACTCATAAACGTCCACCGCAAATTTGATTTAAATCAAGCAAGCAGTACAGAAGTTGACTCTTCTGGGTAGTTTAACCAAAAATTGTTTACTATTTAAAATTCGTAGATACAGATGGTTCCAATCAGAAACTTGCTGAGCATCATTGAAAACCACTAAAGTAAATATTTAAAGATTGGGGCGCATGGGAAGCACGCTGGTACGCTAAAGCTACCACACTTGCAACGGTCATAATGCTGGCTGTGCGAAAGTGCAGATAAGAGAGAAGGATGCGTAAAAGACACGGATGGCTAGTGATGTGAAAACCGCACGCGAGTTTTTACACCACTAGCCTTGCGCCTGTTGCATGAGTGGCAACTTTAGTGCACTTCCAGTCTAGCCATGCACCCTAAATATTTAAAACAATTACTTATTTAGTAGTTTCCAATAACGCTGAGGAAGTTTTTTTTTTTTTTTTTGGAATTGGAATCTTTTTGGAATTGGAATTTTTTTGGAATCTTCATCTCCAATTAAAAAAAAGTTGACAAATTTTAGTTAATTTACCAACTTACTGTGACAATTATCTCCCTAAGTGATTTCCCCCTGGGCATAGAGCTCGCCTGCACAAATTGCATTAGTGTAACTTTCTCTGCTTTTTTCAAACAAATCTGTAAAGTCTTACAAAAACACCCTGTAAATGTGTCAGTGTTTATAAATTGAACATCAGTGGTTTTTCAAAGCATGTTATTGATTTATGATAGATCACTTAAAAATATTAAATCTAGAAATGAGCCTAACTAATTTATGTTTGCATCTTGTTTGAGTATATGTAGTTGCATTAAAAAGCTGCATCATATTTCAGCAACACTGTTGCATCTTTAGTTGTGCGTTGTGCCTTTTCCAACATTTGTTAAACTAAGATTGGTGGTCAGAATAAAGGAAAGGCAGGTGAGCTTTGCTTAGGAAGAGATGTATGTCTACGCCCCCTTTCCTCTCCGCTTGGGCTTGTTGACTGATGTGTCATCCGCTATGCTGTGATGAATTGATTGGCAATTTTTTTAAACTTAATCTGCAAAAGAGATGTTCCAAATGGAATGTAAGCTGATTAAAAGGCCTCTGACACCCCAAAAATAGTAATTTATTTACTGCAGAATGCTAGAACATGGTGTCGGGCATGCAATTAATTTTTCGCTTCAGAGTTTGGTATTCTCTAGAGAGACAGATAACGTCAAACTAAAACTAGGGGACCAGTGCGGAGGAATGCTATGGCGGTGACTCGGGAAATTCAGTTGATTCACTCTCCACAGCTATGCTGTCCATATTTTAGAAATAAATGAACTGCGTAAAGGACGAGGACAGAGGTAGAAACGAGTACGACACACGGAGCGCAGACTTCCAACTGTTTATTTGGCGCAGACACAACAGTATATATGAGTATATATCATGAACCAACTAGCCTGCCAAAGGGTGTTACTTGATGCTGTCCATACTTTCTTTAAATCAACATATTTTCAATGGTTTGCGGGTCATCTTATTAATGAACATATGCTTGAGATGGTTTAGGGCTTCTCAGATATTGCGAGTTCTTTGTCGTCATTTCACGCGACTGAGAAGAAAGGGGAAGCCCTGAGCATGGGGTTTTTGCACAGACAAAACCAAATTATGAAAGCTACCCTTCTTTTTTTTTTTTTTTTAACATAGTGGGGATTTTGTATGTTCAGTTTAAGTTCCCTGTCGGAGGCTCTTTTAGCAATATAAAGTGTTCTGTTTATAATGCCACATTCTACTATAGAATGCGTCTACTACAGTCGGTTCAGGTTTGATACCGTATTTACTTGAGTAATAGCTGCACTATTTGTGAACAAGGCCCTTGTGCCTACTTTCCCACAGAACACACATGCAGCCAATCATTGCGTTGCGCATAAATAATGCGGCGAATAACCAAATGGAGAACACGATTCTCCATACAAGTGCAATCTTCACAGATGGTATCTTTGCACGAAGACGTTATCTCTGTCCTGTAAACGGCTGAAATCATGCTGTCAATCGCGGTGATTGGCAATCTGCATGCTCTGCGGAAGAGCAAACCCTCAGGTTTTCTTCATCAACAGTGCGGCTCTTACTCAAGTAAATACGGTATTTCAGGAGAAGCTCTTCTGGCCTCTTTCCGCTCTAGCAGAGCAAATGCTGGAGAGGAGGTTGCCTCCCCTCCAGCGTTCGCTTTGCTAAAATGGAAAGGTGAGGGAAGGTTCTCCTGAACTATTAACCCATCACCCACTATAGGAATGTTTCAATTA